TCAATAGGCTCCTGGAAAAGAGATAAGGATAAATGTGAGTAGCACTGTTCTTAGTGAAACAACTCCACTATGCCAAAAGAACATTCGGCTGCTGTTCAGCACAGATGTGAAAACAAAACCCAAAGGTACATGACATAACTGGAACTTGGAAACTGACAGGGATGAATCAGAATTATAAAGCAAGAAATGGAACATATAACGATCACAAACTTGGTGTGAATGAATGAACATGGCCTAAAATATGCCATTTTCAATCAGATAATTTCAAAGTGTTTTACTCTGGAAATGATACACTTGGAAGAAAGAAGAGCAGGAGCAGATTGTGATTCAGACTATGAGCTGACAAGGAGAATAATCACTGCAGAGAAATAGAAGAAAATATCAAGTAATTTAAAAAAAGCCAAGAAGTCACAGAGAAATTTAAAATAGGGTTATGATGCTGAAAACAATACAGTGGTGCCCCGCATGTTGATAATAATGCGTTCCGTTAAAATCGCTGTACAGCGAAATCGTCGTCATGCGAAAATAAAAACCCCATTGGAATGCATTGAAAACCGGTTACTGTGTTCCAATGGGGGAAATACCTGCTCTTGAAGTGAAGATCCTCCATAGGGCAGCCATTTTGCGATCCCTGTCTTGCGGAAATAGGACCCGAAAACAGTGGGGAGCCATTTTGCAAACCGCCGATCAGCTGTTTTAAATCGTCGTCTTGTGAACAATCGGTTCGCGAAGCAGGGACCTAATCGTCGTTAAACTAAAAAACCCCATAGGAAACATTGTTTTGCGATCGCTATAGCAATCGCAAAAAAGGCATCGTCAAGCGATTTTGTCATTTAACGGGGTAAGCGTCTAGCAGGGGACCACTGTATAATGAAAACTGTAGCAAAGAGATGCAGGGAATACAGACTCCTTCAAATACGGATCTTTTGATGAAGAATGCATAATTTTAGAAAAAGAAGTGAATGTGCTCTCAAACCTCTTGAAATAAAACAGAACTATTTCATACTACATATATTGAATCTAACAAAATCCTAACAAGAATATGCCAACACATACAGAAAACAAGGATGCAACGTACTATCCAGTTTGAAAAAAGGAGATGCCAAAGACGGAAGTGACTATGGGACCGTGACATTATTTCCCCACAAAAGCTAAGCCATGCTCAAGATATAATATACTTTTACCATATATGGAGTGAAAAATGCCAGATGTTCAAGCTGGATTCAGAAAAAGAAGATACACTAGAGATTATATTGAAAATATAATTGGCTACTGGGATGCTCCAAAGAATTTCAAAAGAAAATCAATTTATGTTCTATAGATTACATCAAAGCCTTTCGCTGTGTATGTATATCATACAACTCTATGGACCACTGTAGAAAAAGTAGATCTACCATAATACAGTATTTGATTGCACCTATCCTCTGGGCAAGAGGCTACTGTCACAACAGATTATCTGAAACAGAGTGGATTCCCATAGACAAAGGAGTGCGAGAAGAAGGTTCATCCAGAAAGGTAGATTAGAGTCAGATAAAAGAGGAATGGAATCTGGTGGAAGAAACATCAGCAAGTTGATATGTGCAAATGATATCACAGCAAGGGAAGAAAATAGCAATCTAACCTAAGGCCTATGTAATCCAGCATTCTGTTCCTATTGTGGCCATTTTCCCAAGGGAAGACTACAAAGAATATCTCCCCTCTTGAGTTCCCTACCAATGGATGTACAGAAGCATACTGTCCTCATTAATGGCGAGAGTACAAGAGTAATAGTTACAGAAAACCTTATCTTCCATGAATTTATTAAATTTTCCTTTAAAGATGCCCAGGTTGGTGGCCGTTACTACATCTTGACTACTGCTGCTATAAAGCCAAAAATACTACTCCATTTCTACATACCCTCTTTACCAAAGCAAATGTGTTCCAGTATTCTGCTTTCCATAATGACATACAGGAATTATTGGCAGTAAATATCACCACTGAAATGCCCTAGCTGGCACATGGACAGAGAGAATGGCGGGGTGGCAGTGGGGAAAGAAGGGTAGAGAAATATCAATTTCAGCTGGAAAGAATAGGGTCTTTGATGCATTGATATATACATTCAATTGCTCAAAAAAGACTGGCTGCTTCTTATGCCTTTTCGTTATTAAACGAACATGTACATCCAATTTACTTGGAATATATGACATTTTCTTTTGCCCGAGTTGCATTAAATGGTGATTTGGGGGGGGGGGGAGTAGATGAAAAAATTCCATTCCGCATGCGGAGAAGGGGGAGGGAGAGCCTGGGAAGTACATAGGCCTGTATTTTTCATTGCCCTGTCAGCAAAACAAATACACTCTACTACATTTTACAGTCCAAAAAATTAACCATGGTAAATCTTTCCATATTTCTGATTTTTCAGCCAAACAAACTTATCCAACAGCAAACACACACCACACATAAAGGACAGGAGAAGGAATACATCAGTTTTTAGGGCACGTTTTTAAAAAGCAGACATCCGTTTCAAGGAAAGTTTGAAATCCATCAAAATAATAAGAAAACTTAACGTAACCAGTGATCTGGATTTCTTTGAGACTTACCACAAGAGCAAAGTACACCATAAAGAAAAATGATAAACTACTTGTGTAGCCAAGAAAGCCTGTAAAATAACAGTAAAAATAAGAGGCAATTTATAAGGAAAGTGATCCTGATGTAGGGCTAAAAGAGCTTCATGGCATAGGTATGTTTCCCATTATAGGGCTTGGTATCTGGGCTTAAGGCTCAGAATAACAACATTCCAACTTGCCTGTCACAGATCATTTATGTAGTTTTGTAGGGCAGAATTAGAATGGGCTTACCACTAATGGCATGCTATAAGTAAATGCAGCTCTTTAATGTGCTGCTGTAAAGGTTTTATTTTAGTACAGCAGACAAAATACTACTGCAATCTAAGTAATAGGTTAACTAGGCTGAAGGACAGAGTAAGTTGCAAATAAATCTCTCCCTCTATCTTTCTTTGAATCATTTTTTTAAAAAAAGCAACAGCCCACTAGAAGTTTCTTTTAAACCCTTCTATTAAACTGCTATTAAAAAAGAACACCACTGCTAATAGTAATTATGAGAGCAATAATGCCTCCTTTAAAACTACTTACCAATTTTAGGGAGAAGCGCTAGAGGGAAGACAATACAGATAGAGGTAATTAGCAGAAGCAATCTCCCATCAAGGTACCAGGAGCTATTGGAAAAAAATAATAGGAATGTTAGTGCCTCTAGAACAAATTCTATTTATTAAAAACTGACTCTCCCAAGACAATTTTGAAGAAATAAGTATTTTTAAAATTCAGACTTCTATAAAATCTCTTTAATTATTTTATCTTAAAGGTAGCATTTGTGCTGAATTTAGCAAAGGTAGCATTTGTGCTGAATTTAGCAATGTGATGATACCACTTAGTACACAGACAACAAGTCAGAAGAGCTATCACCTAATTAAAGAAATCTTAGGCAGCAATCTCATGCATTTAATTCAGAATAAACCTTACGAAACTCAACAGAATTTGCTTCCAGGTAAACATGTGTAAGATTGTTTTAAAATGAAAGAAAAATTGGTTCTTAGTTAATGAGGTCATGTTATTTGTATGAAATTTCTTCGTTGGAAGCAAAACATACACCTGTTTAAATGCTAAAGCCTTTTTAAACTGATTAAACTAATTTACTGACTACGTTTACACTACTTGGTTAGCTTGTAGTGTAAGTTGACAATGTTGGGGGCAAATGACTTTTTAGCCTAATGGACCCTGTAAGTTGAGTGACAATCATAATACAGTACATACTTGCCACCTAGTGCACAGACAACACGTCAGAAATACTATCACCTAATTAAAGAAATCTTAGGCAGCAATCTCATGCATTTAATTCAAAATAAACCTTATGAAACTCAACAGAATTGAGTGTTAGATAGATAGATAGATAGATAGATAGATAGATAGATAGATAGATAGATAGATAGATAGATAGATAGACAGACAGACAGACAGACAGACAGACAGACAGACAGACAATATATTTATTTATTTATTTATTGTATTTATACCCCGCCTATCTAGTCATTTCGACCACTCTACATACATACATATTTATACACACACACACACACACACACACACACACACACACACACACACACACACATATACATAGACACATACATACACATATATATACATACATATACATACATACATATTTAGCCGCCTAGAGTAGTCTTAATTGATTAGATAGGCGGGATATAAAATAAATAAATAAATAAATAAATATGCATACATACACACACACACAATCATAATACATACAGTACTTCTCACTTAAATGCTTTAATACATCTCCTATTATTGTGCCTTGATGACAGATACGCTCTTCTTCAGGAGACACACACACACACACACACACACACACACACACACACACACACACACACACACAATTTCAGGGTTATGAGCTATGATATGAGTCACCAATTATGACTCTGAAAGAACATCATGTTAAGATCATGTTAAGATCTCTGCTGGTTAAAACACCAGGGTGAACTGATAAGAGCCTACGCATCATCCCTTACGGTTGTTCCTCATAAACACCTTGGGCTCAGGGTTTATTTAACCCTGAACACAGTTAGCACCTCATAAAGAGACTCAGGCATTGTATTTCCATTTAAATGTGCCACTAATGAGTATGGGGATATCTGTTGAAACTAGGTGGGCAGTGATGATTAGAATTATTTTTCACATACACTTCTCAGTTACCTAATAGAATGAATGGGTATCTCTAGCTATCTGCATATTCTGAGAATTACACATCACATATGGACTGATCAATCAATCAATCTATATAACTCTCTCTCATGCTATACAAACAGGATAATACATAGACCTTAGACAATGTAGTTTTTGGCATTACAGCCCCCAGAATCTCCTAGCCAGTCCTGTTTGTACTCACAAAATAATTTGTATAGCTGAGTCTCTTGTCTACCCTAAATAACCCAGTCCAGAGTCCCAAAGGACTGCAAATATTTGTTCTTCCAGAGGAAAAAAATGTCAGCCTCCTCCCTCATGACCAGAGTGCTTATGCTGGTATTTCCCACTGAGCTTCCCAACCCAATTATCCAAACATCCTGTGCTCTCCAAAAATCTGTCTGGACGTACACATCAATACAGCCGTCTCCCAATTCTGCTGTTATCTCTGTACATGGAGAGCTTCGTCATAGGCTGTCAGTTTGCATTCTTCCCTATTGCCCCCATCCCAACCGACCCAGAATGTACAAGGTAATGTCTAAAACCAGAGGTGGGGAAACTTTGGTCTCCATATGCTGTGGCCAGTGACTTACATTAATCCCTGCCCATGGCCAGTGACAAGGCATTATGGGAGTTGTTGACCAAACACTTACAGTCCCCCACCCTAGTCTGCGCCAACAGATTCCATAGGAGTTTGACCACAAAATCTCTGAGTCTGAAAATTACCTCGTATGCAGAGTAAAGAAGATGGGGAATATGTTGTGCTAACAGGATCAAAGGGTTTGAGAAACCATTCCTCTGTGCAGTAGAATCTATGTACATTTACTAAGATGTTAAGTTCCATAGTCTTCTTTATTAAAGTATTCTTTAGCAAGTGTGCTTAGAACTATAGCCTTAAAGTGGCAGAGAACCAGTGAGAACCAAATGAATCCTGATCACAATATACCTTTTCAATAAATAAAATAAAGTAGGTCATACTAGGTCTGACTTCATCTGGTTGAAATATATGCAAAATGCATTTTGCTGCTTTTAATCTGATTATAATGTACTAATTTTTTTGTATTATAAAAATTGTTCTTAGAAACAGCATTTTGAAACTAAATTTATATTGACAAAACATAATTAAATATTGTAATAACACTTAATATAATCCCAAAACAACATGTCAGGTCATCATATTGAGAAAAAGAATAACCACCGCCCTAATGTTTCAATTTCTTGCACATTTTAAGCATCTCCTATGATCTGGCATGGACTTATGCATTTTTCATTCCTAAGCATTTCCTCTACTTTAAAAAAATCCATTGCAGAGGTGCATGTGAAAAGTTCTGCTCTATCATAGATTAATGTAACGAAATTTAGGGCTCTGGGGAACTAGAATCTCTTTTAAAAATGTTATTTAGGCAATTGGGAATTCTGCCCTATCAGCACTTACTCTTTGGCTGAGATGGACAAAAGCAAGGAAGAGAGGCTTCTTGCTTATACAGCAATTTGAAAATATTTGTTACAGAAAGAACAGTGTTATTGGACAAGGTAGCAACACCCAACGTTAGGGTTGCGTGCTCCAGCAGGCATTTATGAAGGACCACAGATGTGACATAAGTATTTCTCTCTAAAAAGAGCTGGCTAGTTCGACTGAACGGTTATAATTCACTTAAACGGTTAACCATTTGGCTCTTCGAATTTTCTGCAGTTTTCGTCTAGCATTCTTTTCTCTCCCTTTTTCTCCTTTTTCCTTTGTAACTTTTTTTTTTACAAGAACTTCAATGCTGTCTCTGGCCAAGTGTTTTCGTTGGCAGCTCAAGCCATCCACTGCAGATGACTCCCCAATAAAGAGTTTATTATGGAGCAATACAGGTTTTGGCACGGCAGGATGTCCTCAGCGAATCTGGCACAAGTTACTGGGGCCCTAGGATGGGTCAACGTTCAGACTTTGGCAGGGGCTGGTTCTTGTTCCATATAGGTGGAAGCTGTCTGCAATTTTTTACACGCTGCTTAGGTCTGCAGCTATAGCATAAGGCTTCTCAGCACATTCTGGTGCCAGTCAGGGCTGGGTGGTGTGTAGGAGTCAGTAACAAAGTCATTGACAATCCAAACAGTAGGTGCTAAGCCCCTGAACAAAGTAGGGCACGACACCCAAACTGCGCGCTGTGGGAAATAAAATTAGTTCAATAATTAAACTTTCTCTGAGCCCAAAACACAGCAGACTGGCCACTCTTTCTCTGTGTAATTCGGGACTTTCATCTCATTCCAGCTCAATTCAGGTTCTACCTAGGGAAGAGTAATTCTGCACCAATTGTGCACTGAATGGATCTAAAGGTTTCTCATTAAGTACCTGTGTAAAAGGGACGTACTGTATGTCCAAAACTGTATGTCTTATCAAAACACAAGGAAAGTGGTCCACATACTTATTACACACTCTGGTTTGAATCCAACTACAGTACATTCATTGAATAAATGGGACTTGATTAAGTCTTAGTTTACCATTAAATAACTGATTTAATGGCTCTGGTCTAGTGGAGACTCGTTGTTTCCAATTTATGGTATTCTTATGACTCTCCAGAAGGTCCATCCCTTGGCAGTCCTGTTCTGGTCATGCAAACTCAAGGGTATGATTTGCTCTACTGGGTCAAATCTATTTATTCTTTCCCTTTTCCTACTCCCCTTCCAATTTTTAATATATAGATATGGCAATGCAATAAATATATATCAATATATATTTATTCATGTGCGGATTGGGGCTAGGGATGGTATTGGGATCTTGCTGGGTTACCGCGCTCCCCGTGACCCAGCCACCTCCCTACCGGAGCTGGCCGACTTCGTCTCCGCGGCACTGTTGGAGTCCCTGAGATTTCTGGTCCTCGGTGACTTCAACATCCATGCGGCGGCGGAGGTATCCGGTCCAGCTCTTGAGTTCTTGGAACCCATGGCTTCCTTGAACTTATCCCAACATGTCAACGGCCCCATGCACATGGGTGGCCATATGCTCGACTTGGTTTTTTCCACCAAGTGTAATGAGCGTGGTCTGATGGTGACTGACCTCGTGTCAGTCCCCTTGTCATGGTCAGACCATTACCTAATAAAATGTAACCTCGCAATGGCACTCTCCCCTCGGAGGGAGCATGGATCTGTTTTGATGATCCGCCCTCGAAGGTTACTGGATCCAATTGGTTTTCAGGACACCATGAGACGGATTCCAGCAGAACTGTCTGGCGCTTCTGTCGAAGCTCTGGTAGATGGTTGGTTCTCTGCCGCTACTAGGGCTGTTGACACGATCGCACCCAAACGCTCTCTCAGGAGCAGAGCTCGGCCAGGACCCTGGTATAGTCAG